TTTTCCTCCCGCCTCCTTGAGGAATTTTTTCGTGAGGAGGGCATCGCCGTTCACGCTTCCGGCCTCTCCAAAGCAAACTGGGATTGCTGAGCGTCACATTGGCTTGATCATGGAGGCTGCTCGCACCTCCATGAGCCATGCGGTTGCTCCCCATCTTCTGTAGTCGTTTGCGGTCCAATACGCCAAGCATCAGCTCAACCTCAGGCCCCGTGTCTCTATGCCAGAGACCTCGCCTACACTGCGTTGGACGGGGGAGGTTGGCGACGCGTCGGAGTTTCGGGTCTGGGGCCCGCTTGCCCTTGTCCGCGATCCTACCGCGGGCAAGCTCTCTCTTCGCACTCTCCGCTGCGTCCTCCTTAGCTTCCCCACCGACGCCCCGCCCTAGCAGTTTTACCACCCTGCCACGCGCAGTGTCTTGTCCTCTTAGGACGTCACCTTTGACGAGTCGGTTTGCTGCTACCGCCTCCACCTCCACATCAATTCCCCCGTCCCCTCCCCCGCATCTCTTCCTGGTCTCAGGTCCCCCCCCCCCCCGGTAGACTCTCTCCCCCCAGAGGGTCCTGCTCCCTCAGATGTGTCTCTGCTCGACCCACCTCCCTTGGTTGAGCCTTTGGAGATCTCCTCTAGCACCTCTGGCCCAGCTGAGGGGGGTGACCGTACTGTTGGTATAAGGGCCTAATAAACTCAAGCTATTAAGACTTTATCAAACTTAAAACCTCTCCTCGGGGTCACCTCCAAGGGTCCTTGGGTGCCTGGTACAAGACCAGCCCCTATCCTCGGGTCCGAATTTGTAGAGAGAGGGATCAAGAATGACTTAGTCAAAATAACAAGAGTACCTTGAACGTCGCGCAGCGTATCGTGCAGACCGTCGACCGGATTAAGCTGAGAATTTCCTATATCGAAGCTCACTCCAAGAGCTTTAAAATAAGCCAAGTTGCCTCGCGAAAAGTTCTGCCATTACGAAGTTATGGCTCGGACAGCGTTTGCCTAGCGTTAGAGTGCTAGCGGACTAGCGTTGACTCGGGTAGCATTCCGCCGTCGCACCGCGTAGAAACAAAATTCCAGGAAGGGAGGAATTCGCTTGAATCAAATTGACTATATTCAGGTACAAACAGAGAAGGAATATATAGTTCTAGCTAGCAAGGACCTTGGGAATAAACCTGGGAACAACTAGGGATGATCCCAAATAATTCCAAGCAACAGAACCAACCTGGCTGGACAAAACAGCAGGTGGTAGGTTGGTAAACAACCTCTGGTTCTGTTTTTCCAACCTGGGAAAACAACAATCAGGTTCAGGTCCTAAAAAACAGAACCTGATTTGTCTTTGCCCAACCAGCCAAATGCTGGTTCCACTGGTGGCCCTGTAGCAAGCAGATACAGACAAACAACATCCAACCTTTACCTAAATTGTACCCCTATAGTGCCTGCCCTGCTACACTATAGTCAACCAAACAAAACAGTACAATTTCGAGTTGGATAGAACTGAATCTGCACAATCAATTCAACCGAACCGCAAAGCTTCCATCTTGGGTTCCTTTGCGAGCTCGTCCTTTCCGCTTGTACTGTTCATAGCGCGTACAATGTTGTGCCGAAGCGCATAATGCGCGAGTACCTGCAAATGCTTCAAGCGAAAAATGCGAAAGAAAACAAACACACGAACATTTCATTCACACCCAAATGCATTCGCACACGCATACTCATACAAACAGACGGCAGGATGTCGTGCAATGTGAATTTGCACCCAACACCTACTGCTGACGACACAACGGCCACTCGCTGCTCACCGCGCTTGGAGACCTCTCCAGGTTTTCCGCTTCCTGCCTCTGCAGTTCGTCGCTGTGGACTCCGGTGCTGCTGAGCTAGCGGTGGTGGAGGTACTTGAGGTGCCAGAGCTGGAGGTATTGGAGGCTCTGGAGCTGGAGGTGCTGGAAGTACTGAAGGTGCTGGTGCTGGAGGTTCTGGAGCTGCAGGTATTGGAGCTGCAGGTATTGGAGGTGCTGGAGGTACTAGAGGTATTGGAGCTGGAGGTGCTGGAGGTATTGGAGCTGCACCTTTGAAAGGCGAAAGGTGCTGGAGCTGGAGGTACTGGAGGTATTGGAGCTGGAGGTGCTGGAGGTGTTGGAGCTGCTGAAGGTTCTCGTGCTGGAGGTACTGGAGCTGGAGGCTCTGGTACTGTGGGTACTGTGCACCGGCGACCATTTTTCTTCCCACAGCCGCAGTCGTCACTGCAACCACCTGAATCGGCGTTTCGCCAGGTTCTTAGTCTACCGTCTTCCACTGGCCTTACTCCACCTCTACTTGTCCTCTGCTTGACCAGTCATAGGCGCCGTTACTGCCTCACTCCCCTCTGTCTGCTCCTTCTCCTTACTCTGCGCAGATAGACTCCCTGACAGAGCGTCGTGAGCCTGCGTCTCGTCCTGCCTCGCCTTCGCACTGTTAGTCGTGCTCGTCGTGTTCGTCTTCCACCAGTCCCCGGCACACACACTATGTCACTTCGTCCCTCCTCTGTTCCACTGCGTGTTGCCCTGTCGTCTCCTCCAGCGTCCTCTCTTCCTGACGTTCCTGACCCTGCGTCTGACCTTGCTCGTGCTCCTAGTCCGTGTCACGCACTTCCAGGCCACCCTTGTTACTAACCCTTCCATTGAGTCTACTGTTGCACCTGCCTTAGTCACTGAGCTCGTGACTTTGCTGCTATCTGTCGCTTAGACTACTTCGCGAGTCTTGTTACTAAGTCTAAGTCTGACTATTCAGGGGGTGAGCTTGCCCTTGGCAGTGACGTTTTTGAGTGAGTTTGAGCTTGAATGCCTCGTGGCTGCTGTACCTCATTTTGCTTCCATGCTGCTTTGTCGTGAGGGAGACCCGGATGCACTAGACATCCCGACCCCCCGCTCTTACGCTGGGACGATCACGGGTGAGTACTCCTCTAAGTGGCAGACAGCTAAGGATGAAGAGATGGCTTTCTGGAAGTCCACAGGCACTTACGTCGACGCAGTTCCCCCTCGTGGGGCGAACATAGTCGATGGCATGTGGATTTTCAGAGTGAAGCGGCCGTCGGGTTCTCCGCCTGCCTTCAAAGCATGTTACGTTGCACGAGACTTAAGTCAGCGCGGGGGGGGGGGGGGGGGGGTCGACATCTTCCACACCTTCTTCCCCACCCAAAGATGACCACTCTTCGGGTGTTACTGCACGTTGCAGCGCAGCGTGACTACGAGCTCCACTCGCTTGACTTCCGCATAGCTTTCTTGCGAGGCAGCCTTCACGAGGAGATCCGGCTACGCTGCCCACCTGGCTTCACTGGGTCGTTTCCTGATGGTACCAAGTGGAGCCTTTGGCCACCAGTCTATGGTCTCCGTCAGGCGCCCTGCGAGTGGCACGACAAACTGAGGACTACACTTGCAGCTCTTTGGTTTGCTCCTTCGACTGCTGACCCGTCGCTGTTTCTGTGCACCGGCCCTTCTCTGCCGCCGTTCTACATCCTCGTATACGTTGACGACTTGGTCATAGCTACTGCTGGCACTAAGGCATTGGCCCTTGTGAACGCAGAGCTGCAGAAGAGACACACTTGCACTGGTCTTGATGAGCTGCGCAGCTATATTGGCTTGCAGATCACCCGAGACAAAGCACGGCGCATCATCACTCTGACTCGGTCACACATGGTGCACCAGGTTCTTCAGCGCTTCAGCTCCCAGTTCTCCTCACCACATGCCACTCCTCTGCCTACTGGCCACTCGCGCTCAGCTCCACCTTCGGACGAGTCCGTATAGCCGAGTGGTAAGTATCTAGAGCTTGTGTTCTGCCTCGTATACCTGGTGACTTGCCCTCGACCTGACCTCGTGTACTCTCTTAGCATCCTGGCACGCTACATTGCGCCTAGGAGACACGGACCACAGCACCGGCGGGCCGCTAAGAGGGGTGATGCGTTACTTGTTGTGCTTGGATTTCGGGGCTCAGTTGTACTCGCTGGACACTCAGACGCTTTTTGGGTCGATGACTCAGCGTTCTTCAAAGGGTTACACTACCAGTCTCGACACTGGCTCTGTCTCCTGGAGGTTGACCCGCTCGTCTTCAGTACTGAGGTCCGACTGTGAGGCCGAGATCTACTCTGGAGTTACACTGGCTGACCTACCTGCTGACAGACTTGGGTGTGTGGCCTCGTTCTCCTCTGGTTCTGTACGTTGACAAGAAGCCCACTATTGCCTTGTGTCGGGAGCAAAGACTGGAGCACATAACGAAGCACATTGCTCTTCGTTATTTCCCCGCTCGATAGTTACAGCAGCGTGGTCAGCTCCACCTTACCTACGTGGCCTCACGGGCTAAAACTGCTAATATTTTCACCAAGGCACTTGTGTCTAAGGACCATCAGCGTTTTTGGCACTGCTCCAAGCCTTGTTCTTTGCTGTGTGGGTGGATCCACCTTGAGCTTTGCTTTGCTTTGTTCCTTTGATTGACAGATCTTGTGACCGTCTGTTGTGTTTGCTATCCCCCACTTAGCCGATGGGGATGTGTCAAAACTGTATGTTTGTGTGTTATCTCTAGGCTTTATTGGGATAGCCAACAAGGGGGGTATAACCCATTAAGGTTAGTACACTTGATCATAGTTCATTCATTCTTGCTCACTTGATTCTGACAGACAAAATGTCCTCCAAGGGGGGACAGTACCGTACATTGTTGTTAAAAGCTGATTGATTAGTGTACATATGAAAAATGTATTGTGTGAGAATTACAGTTTTTCCTGTCCAACTTAGCGTTAAAATGCTGACTTCTGGAGACCTGGAACTGAGACAACCTGTTGCTGACTTTTGAATATGGGGAAGCAAGGTTGTTGAAAAACAAACCTTTTTGGTTGCTTAATCCTCTGAACATGCGTAATAGAATGTTGGTTTACACTGCTTCTGCTGTCAACAATCATTATGCTTCGTACAGTATGGCAAGTTCGCTGCATGAGAAGTGCGGCGGTGCGGTGTGGTGGGAGGGCAGTAGCGGGTGATGCGGTGTCACGGCTAGGCCGGCAGGGAGTGGTGCAGGGCGTGCAGAGACACGGCCGCGGATCCACGAGGGCGAGCCCTCTGCTGCGACTCGTGCGGCGCCCAGCCCGCCATGAAGATGACCTGCACGGAGTGTGGGGGGGAGGGGGTGGGGGGGTGGAGGTTGGATACTTGAGCATTGAAGAATCACCTCGCAGGAAGGCAGGTAAGCTCTGAAAGGAGAGTGGGGTTGGGGGAGAGTGCATGTGGGAGGGGAGAGATGGGCATGTTGAGAATTCTGAATGAACAGCTGCATTGAAAACGAAGCCAAAGGGTTGAGTTGTTGTGGCATGGCTGATGAAATGACAAGGCGTGAGGAACCAGAGAACCTGAAATGTTGCAACAACCCCATCTTCATCCCTCCCTTGTTGTTCGTCCCCCCTCGCCTCTACACCAGGAGCAAGGTCTGGTGGTGAATGAGCGTGTGCGGAGGGAGGGCAGGCGGGGAACATGTGCGCGTAGATGGCTGCTGCTGCCAGCGCCGTGTCACGGGGCAACGGCTGAGCGGACGGGTGGGGGGCAATGAGTGGAGAGTGAGAGAATGAGTGGAGTGAATGAGGAAGGGGGAGTAGTATGTGGGAAGCGAGAGGAGTTCGCAGGAAGGGGGGCCAGTGAGTGCGAAAGGCGAGTGAGTGACAGATGGGAGGAGATGCTGAAGAGGGAGGCAGGAGTTGAAGGAGGTTGCAAGAGGCACGAAACGTAGGGAAAGGTGAGAATGGAGTTGAGGGGTGGGCAAGGGAAGCCAAGTGAGAGGATGAAGCAGGCAATGAAGTGTGAGCGTGCACGCAGGCAATGAAATTTGAATCGTATTGCAACTATTGTTATCCTTTTCATGTTCGTTGTCTCGTCCACACACTCACAGTTGGTAGCATTTAGAGAGACACCCTCACAGCTGTGGCAAGAGCACCACTGCAGCCACCAAAGCCCATTACACCGGATATGAGTGGCAGAGAACAAACAAGGTGCACAGGAGCGCGGAACCATGGTGTGATCTCACCTGCCTGTGCTCGCACCTGCCTGTGCTCGCACCTGGGAGTGGTGCAGAGTGCAGTCTGTCTCGCCCAGCAATCGCAGGTGCTGCACCACCTGCACAGCTGCACATGGGCGCAGCAAGGAGGGCACACGAGAGCCCGTGAAAGACAATGATAAGCAACAAGACGGTTGGCAACGATAGTCGGAGCACCCGAGGGGTAGGCGAGAGCACCTGAGGGGTAGGCGAGAGCACCTGAGGGGTAGGCAAGAGCACCTGAGGGGTAGGCGAGAGCACCTGAGGGGTAGGCGAGAGCACCTGAGGGGTAGCGAGAGCACCTGAGGGGTAGGCGAGAGCACCTGAGGGGTAGGCGAGAGCACCTGAGGGGTAGGCGAGAGCACCTCAGGGGTAGGCGAGAGCACCTCAGGGGTAGGCGAGAGCACCTGAGGGGTAGGCGAGAGCACCTGAGGGGTAGGCGAGAGCACCTGAGGGGTAGGCGAGAGCACCCGAGGGGTAGGCGAGAGCACCCGAGGGGTAGGCGAGAGCACCCGAGGGGTAGGCGAGAGCACCTGAGGGGTAGGCGAGAGCACCCGAGGGGTAGGCGAGAGCACCTGAGGGGTAGGCGAGAGCACCTGAGGGGTAGGCGAGAGCACCTGAGGGGTAGGCGAGAGCACCTGAGGGGTAGGCGAGAGCACCTGAGGGGTAGGCGAGAGCACCTGAGGGGTAGGCGAGAGCACCTCAGGGGTAGGCGAGAGCACCTCAGGGGTAGGCGAGAGCACCTGAGGGGTAGGCGAGAGCACCTGAGGGGTAGGCGAGAGCACCTGAGGGGTAGGCGAGAGCACCCGAGGGGTAGGCGAGAGCACCCGAGGGGTAGGCGAGAGCACCCGAGGGGTAGGCGAGAGCACCAGAGGGGTAGGCGAGAGCACCCGAGGGGTAGGCGAGAGCACCTGAGGGGTAGGCGAGAGCACCTGAGGGGTAGGCGAGAGCACCTGAGGGGTAGGCGAGAGCACCTGAGGGGTAGGCGAGAGCACCTGAGGGGTAGGCGAGAGCACCCGAGGGGTAGGCGAGAGCACCCGAGGGGTAGGCGAGAGCACCTGAGGGGTAGGCGAGAGCACCTGAGGGGTAGGCGAGAGCACCTGAGGGGTAGGCTAGAGTGTTAGTGTTAGCCCTCGATCTCAGACTTAGTACTTTATATTTTCTATTTCCTAGAGTAGTGTAGTTTGCACTTCGTGTTTGGTTGGGAATACACCTACATCCCAACCAAACCCAAATGTAATCTTCAAGCAATCTCCAAGCAATCTCCAACCCACCAATTGGAGATTGCCTTGGGATTACCCTCAATCCCTAGGGATTGCCCACGATTCCCTTCCCCATCCATTCCTTCCCCATCTTGGATGTACTTAAAGAGCTTCAAGCTCATTACTAATGTATCAGTTCTACGCCTAAGTTGTGAAATGGTATCAGAGCACTTCAACCGCACATGCGAATCGTGATCATATTCTTTCGGCGGATGCTCATCCCGCAAACGCCGTCGTAGACGTCCTCAATCCCGTCGCCGATGATTCGCGACATTCGTGGCCGAAAATTCTCCCGCGTCACTTTCCCCCTTCATTCTCGACGACCTCTACACCCTCTGTGGTAAGCGCATCGCTGACGCTTTAACCATTCGTGTGTTCTTTATTTCTCGTTGAACATCTTCGCACAAGTTCTTCTCGTCGGGCCGCCGCCCGTCGCTCCGCAGCTTCTCGTCGGGCCGCCGCCCGTCGCCCCGCAACTTCTCGTCGGGCCGCCGCCCGTCGCCCCGCAGTGTCACCTTCGAGCTGCCGCCCGTCGCCCCGCATCAGCACTTCTACCCCCTTTCCCCTCCCCTTCCCGCAGCTGAACAGGTGCCAGCGCAGCCGATCAGCAGAGTAGCCGCAAAGCCGAGCAGCCGTGTAGCCGCGAAGCCGAGCAGCCGTGTAGCCGCGAAGCCGAGCAGCCGTGTAGCCGCGAAGCTGGGGGTGGTGTGTGGGGGGGTCTGTGGGAATAGAGTTAGTTGCACAGAAATCGGCCGATTTAACCTAATTTTGGCGGCCTTCAAAACCCTTCTACGAGACATCCCGACGCGGCCGACATTGACGATTTTTGCTCTCCGGGACCGTCGAAGTTCCAATCGGTGACTTAAGAGCGGCGTTCCGCGCGAGACATTAAGGGGCCCTCACCACCATTGCCAACCCCATCACCCCACTCCGCCTTGAAGCCGATGGCTCTAGCTCCAACTTCAAGGCATGGAGCTACGGGGTTGACAAGCACCTCCTCAGTGGTGACGTGCAGAGATTGGACCTCAAGGACGTCCTCCTCAACCGTGGCTAGGGAAAACAACCCCTTCTCCCCCGTGAGCCGACCGAATGTGCTAGTGATGCTGACACGACGGCGTACGAGGAATCTGTTGAGAAGTACCGGAAATGGGAGAAGGCCGATGCAGCTATCATCAGCGTCTTCATCGCCTCCACCCCTCCCGAACTTGTCAACACGTTCCACAACTACCCTACCTCCAACACCATCTGGAAGTATATCTCAAGGATCGATTCATGAACAAGACGGCGGTCGGAGTTGCCATTCTCATCCCCAACATGTTTCAGGTCCGCCTTGAGGACTGCTCGGGAATGGCCGACTACATTGCCAAGGTGCAGACCATTCATGGCGAACTCGAGGAGCTGGGTATAGTCTTCCCCGAACAAGCCCCTGCAGCCGCCCTTCTTGTTGGTCTCACTTCGGCATATGAAGTCACGAGGAAGATGCTCCTCATGCTCTCAGCGGAATACCTCACTTTTGCTAAGGTCTCCACCGCACTCCTCTCTGCCAAGAAAGACTCCACGGCTCAAGCCAAGGCTTACGCCATCCGTGCTTCCGTGCCTCAAGCAAGTGTCGCCTTGGCACCCTTCCAGCACAACCGCTTCCCTCTGTGCACCTACGTCGTCAATTATGGCAACCGCAAGGGACAAGTGTGTGGTGGCACTAACCACCCCTTTGCTATGTGCTTCAAGAAGAAAGACGACGAATGTTATGCCATCCACGGAGTAGACAAGAAACCACCAAACTGGATGCGTCCTCGTAAGGCCAACCTCGTTGAGGTCCAGGACGCCGCTTCGGCTAGTGCTAGTGATAGTGCTCTTGCTGATGTGCGTATCAACCTGTTGTTCCCTGGCACTGCCATGATCAATGAAGCAACCTCCCAATACATCGGCTCGTCAAAAGCACCACAATACATAGAATTCACACTCGACAGCGGGACCACTCACACTGTGCTCAAGGAGACACTGTCCTTCAAACCTACGCAACACCCATCTTTCTCCTCGGAGCTGATTCAAGCTTCACAATTCTTGCCAAGGGTACATCCACAGTCCCGTGCCCCGCCTTCCCATCCGGCACTGTCACTGGCATGTGATGCCTTCACTACGCCACAATTTAGTGGCTCAAACGAAAATTCAGGAAGCAGGGTTATCGGAGAACGAGGACTATTGTGACATCATATATCCACTCACCAACAAGGTCCTGGCTCGCTTCACCCTCAAAATCAGCGGCCTCTACACGCTGCGCATACCTATCCCACAGGTGTCAACCACCCAAGCACATGCTACTATCACACCATGCTCATGTCGCAGCTTCTCCAACCCGACCATCCTCTACCGCCATCAGCTCGGGCACCCAAACTTCCGCATGCTTGCTGACATGGCTTCCAAGAAACTTCTTCTCGGCATGCCAGCCTCACTTCCTCCACCACCTGAATCATCCGCTCCCATGTGCCTTGACTGCACCAAGAGCAAACTGCGCCAACAGCCCCATCCTGCCTCACCCACAGTCGCAGCAGCACCACTGGAGCTAGTGCATATGGACGTCTGGGGCCCTGCCCCGGTTCCCGCACGAGGTGGCCATCGCTACTTCCTTGCTATCGATGATGACCACTCCCGCTACGTCTCTGTTCACCTCATCCACACTAAGGCTGGGGCTCCAGAGGACATCATGGCGTGGGTCAAACAGGCACAGACCACCTTTGACTGCAAGGTCAATCGCCTTCACTCGGATGGGGGTGGTGAATTTTGCAACGACAAGCTCAAAGCCTTCTGCTCCTGAGAAAGAATCCAGCAAAACTTCACCCTTCCTGACAGCCCGCAGCAGAACGGCATAGCAGAGAGCCGCAACCACACCCTGGTGCAGATCACTAGGTGCCTCCTCAGCCACTCCAACGCTCCACTCTCTCTCTGGGGGTACGCCCTCTACCATGCCGCGCTCCTCTACAACCTTTACCCCCACCCGCATCTTCCCAACACCACTCCAACCACTCTTTGGCTCGGGAAAACACCCACAGCACGCTCTCTTTGCGTCTGGGGGTGTATCGCCTATGTCCTCCTCAACCCTCAGGCTAGGCGGAAGAACGGTGGCAAACTCGGTCCCAAGACCCAAATGTGCATCTACCTTGGGCACAACGCCGACTCCCCTGACTACCTCTTCCTTAACCCCTCCACTCAACAGTTAGTCCGGAGCCGCGATGTTGTCTTTGATGAGATCCGCCCATTCTACTCCACCTCGGGACGGGATCCTCCCTCTGATCCGCCCTCTCTTGTGTAGGCAGACTTTGACGTGCCACCTGAACTCCCGCCTCCACCGACCCCCTCACCTCTCCTGCCATGGCACCATCCCCCTCTGAGGTCTCTGACCCGACCTCACCGGTGTCTTCGGCACCTGCTCCTCCATCCCCCTCACCTCCCACTCTGCCGATTGCACCGCCCCCTCCGAGCGCACCAATCACATACCATCCGCGGTCGAACCCTCCGGCCCCACCTCCCCCCCCAATCCCCCCTTCCACCCAGGAACCCCTCCCCCACAGCCGCCCGAACTGATCACGTACCAGCGGCGGCCAATTCCCCCACCCAAGTCTCCTAAACCATCCCCTCCGACACCGCCTGCTCCACCCTCTTCTCCGGTGGCTCATGGCACTCGCTCGCATGGCCCTGCTCCTCCACTGGCACTGGCTATACGATGCTCAGCGATCACTCCGACTCCTCCTGCCGGGGGGGATGTGCCCTCTACTCTTCTGGAAGACAGGCATGAGAAGCTGTGTAATCTTCACGCAGTCATTCCCCAGCTCTCGCACATCTTCCCCGACATCACTGAATCACCCTCACTCAACTTCACGGAGAACCCGACCATCCCTATCCCTCTCACCGTCCAAGAGGCTCTTTGGGGTCCCCATGCTGCCGAATGGTGTGTTGCCATGGAAGCTGAGATAGAAGCCTTCACTAGCAACCACTCCTTCGACGACGAAACTCCACTTCCAGGGGTTAACATCGTTGGGGGCAAGTGGCTGTTTCGAGTGAAGCAGCTTCTGGACGAGGCCCCTGTGTTCAAAGCTCGATATGTGGCCAAGCGATTTACTTAGCAATAGTACCTTTCACTTCTTCAAAACATTCTCCCCCACATCCGAACCACCCACCGTTCGCACGCTCTTGGATGTAGCTGCGCGAGAGGACTTTAAGATCAAATCCATGGACGCCTCATCGACCTTCCTGCAAGGACACCTCAAGGAGACAGTGTTCATGGATCGTCCCGAAGGCTTTCCAGGAAAGTTCCCTCCCAACACTGTTTGGAAGCTGAATTGCCCCGTCTACGGCCAGCAAGCCCCTCGCGAATGGCACAACAAGGTTAAAGAAGTCCTTCTCTCCCTAAACTTCCACCCATCATCTGCGGACCCGACTCTCTTCATTCGCCGTCATTTTGAGCCATTCTACATCCTTGTCTACGTCGATGACTTCATCGTCGTTGCCAAGGACTCGGCCCAGATGACCTCTGTCCAGGCGGCCCTGAGCAAAACCCTCCTGATGAAAGACCTCGGTGACCTCAAGCACTACCTGGGGATGGAGATTACACGTGATCGCCAGGCTCGCACCATTTCACTCTCCCAGGTGTTCTACATCAACAATGTGCTTAAGCGGTTTGAGATGGAGCTGTGCACACATGTTGCCACCCCGCTGCCGCTGCAATACCTCCTCACAGCCCCAGCTGTACCCACACCAGAGGCTTGCTCTGAGCCATACCCGGAGCTCGTTGGGTCCCTCATGTACGCCACGATGTGCACCCGGCCGGACTTGGCATATCCTGTGAGTGTCCTCTCTCGCTACATGGCCCCTGGACGCTTTACTGATCGTCACTGGAAGGCAGCGAAGCGGGTACTGCGTTATCTTCAGGGCACCAAGTCTCACGTTCTCACACTCGGCGAGCTCTCCCCTCCTCGACTGGAAGGTTACACTGACTCCTCTTGGGCTGATGACCAGACCGACCGACGCTCCTCTCGGGGGTACTGCTTCACCCTTGGGAGCGGAATTGTCAGTTGGCGCTCCACCAGGTCGTCAGCAGTCTCCCTCTCCTCCTGTGAGGCAGAGCTCTACGCTGGCACCATGGCTGCTCAAGAGGCCCGTTGGCTCACCTTCCTCCTCCAGGAGCTTGGCTACCCAAAGTCCACCCCCACCCTCTGGTGTGACAACCAGAGTACCATCCACCTCTCCCAAGACCCCGTGTACGACACTCGCACCAAGCACATCGAACTCCGGCACTTCTTCATCCGTGACCTTGTCCAGCGGGAGCAGCTGAATGTGGAGTACGTTGCATCTGATTGCAACCTGGCTGATCAGTTCACCAAGCCCCTTGGGGAAAATTCCTCACCACCGTCTCCTTGGCGCCATGGGGCTCTGTGCTCCACCTTCTCTGCCCTGAGTTCAATTTACGCCTATGGGGGGGTGTTAATGTTAGCCCTCAATCTCACACTTTGTACTTTATATTTTCTATTTCTTAGAGTAGTGTAGTTTGCACTTTGTGTTTGGTTGGGTGTACACCTACATCCCAACCAAACCCAAATGTAATCTCCAAGCAATTTCCAACCCACCAATTGGAGATTGCCTTGGGATTACCCCCAATCCCTAGGGATTGCCCACGATTCCCTTCCCCATCCATTCCTTCCCCATCTTGGATGCACTTAAAGAGCTTCAAGCTCATTACTAATGTATCAGTTCTACGCCTAAGTTGTGAAATGGTATCAGAGCACTTCAACCGCACATGCGAATCGTGATCATATTCTTTCGGCGGATGCTCATCCCGCTAACACCGTCGTAGACGTCCTCAATCCCGTCGCCGGTGATTCCCGACATTCGTGGCCGAAAATTCTCCCGCGTCACTTTCCCCCTTCATTCTCGACAACCTCTACACCCTCTGCGGTAAGCGCATCGCTGGCGCTTTAACAATTCGAGTGTTCTTTATTTCTCGTCGAACATCTTCGCACAAGTTCTTCTCGTCGGGCCGCCGCCCGTCGCCCCGCAGCTTCTCGTCGGGCCGCCGCCCGTCGCTCCGCAGCTTCTCGTCGGGCCGCCGCCCGTCGACCCGCAACTTCTCGTCGGGCCGCCGCCCGTCGCCCCGCAGCGTCACCTTCGGGCTGCCGCCCGTCGCCCCGCATCAGCACTTCTACCCCCTTTCCCCTCCCCTTCCCGCAGCTGAACAGGTGCCAGCGCAGCCGATCAGCAGCGTAGCCGCAAAGCCGAGCAGTCGTGTAGCCGCGAAGCCGAGCAGCCACACGCCGCGAAGCTAAGTGGTGTGTGGGGGGGTCTGTGGGAATAGAGTTAGTTGCACAGAAATCGGCCGATTTAACCTAATTTTGGCGGCCTTCAAAACCCTTCTACGAGACATCCCGACGCGGCCGACATTGACGATTTTTGCTCTCCGGGACCGTCGAAGTTCCAATCGGTGACTTAAGAGCGGCGCTCCGCGCGAGACATTAAGGGGCCCTCATCATGGCCTTCATCTCGTCCGCCATTGCCAACCCCATCACCCCACTCCGCCTTGAAGCCGATGGCTCTAGCTCCAACTTCAAGGCATGGAGCTACGGGGTTGACAAGCACCTCCTCAGTCGTGACGTGCAGGGATTGGACCTCAAGGACGTCCTCCTCAACCGTGGCTAGGGAAAACAACCCCTTCTCCCCCGTGAGCCGACCGAATCTGCTAGTGATGCTGACACGACGGCGTACGAGGAATCTGTTGAGAAGTACCGGAAATGGGAGAAGGCCGATGCAGCTATCATCAGCGTCTTCATCGCCTCCACCCCTCCCGAACTTGTCAACACGTTCCACAACTACCCTACCTCCAACACCATCTGGAAGTATATCTCAAGGATCGATTCATGAACAAGACGGCGGTCGGAGTTGCCATTCTCATCCCCAGCATGTTTCAGGTCCGCCTTGAGGACTGCTCGGGAATGGCCCACTACATTGCCAAGGTGCAGACCATTCATGGCGAACTCGAGGAGCTGGGTATAGTCTTCCCCGAACAAGCCCCTGCAGCCGCCCTTCTTGTTGGTCTCACTTCGGCATATGAAGTCACGAGGAAGATGCTCCTCACGCTCTCAGTGAAATACCTCACTTTTGCTAAGGTCTCCACCACACTCCTCTCTGCCAAGAAAGACTCCACGGCTCAAGCCAGAGAGCACCTGAGGGGTAGGCGAGAGCACCTGAGGGGTAGGCGAGAGCACCTGAGGGGTAGGCGAGAGCATTTGAGGGGTAGGCGAGAGCACCTAAGGGGGTACGCGGAAGCACCTGAGGGGTAGGTGAGAGCACCTGAGGGGTAGGCGAGAGCACCTGAGGGGTAGGCGAGAGCACCTGAGGGGTAGGGGAGAGCACCTGAGGGGTAGGCGAGAGCACCTGAGGGGTAGGCGAGAGCACCTGAGGGGTAGGCGAGAGCACCTGAGGGGTAGGCGAGAGCACCTGAGGGGTAGGCGAGAGCACCTGAGGGGTAGGCGAGAGCACCTGAGGGGTAGGCGAGAGCACCTGAGGGGTAGGCGAGAGCACCTGAGGGGTAGGCGAGAGCACCTGAGGGGTAGGCGAGAGCACCTGAAGGGTAGGCGAGAGCACCTGAAGGGTAGGCGAGAGCACCTGAAGGGTAGGCGACGGGGAATTCGTCGACATCGACCGTGGGCAGCGCGAAACCGGCTTTGGTTAGCAGATTGCCCGCATCTCGCACCTGGAAGGGGGGGGGGGGGCGGATTATTGGCAGGAAGGGGGGACATGATTGTAAGGAGGGGGGGCGGGTTATGGCAATCACATGCGTGATGCTCACAACATCCTCATCCTGGTAACCACATGAAAAGGCAGGTTCTTGGTGCCTTGGCCCCACGCGCCTCACATCCCACCTGCGTCACCCCCGAACCCACCTGAGCCATGGGGGCGACTCGAGCCGCCACACCGCCCTGCCTCTCCATGTGAGCCAACGTGCATGCTATGCGCAGCTCCCTGGGGGCACATGCACATGCCACCATGCACATGCCACCAAGCACATGCCACCATGCACATGCCACCATGCACATGCCACCATGCACACAAGTTGCATTTCATCCATGCCACAGAATGAACAATAGTAACTGCTGAAGGAGGAGAGATATGGCATCTTGTGCCTCAAGCACAGTGTCATGCACGCAGGGAGTGCGTGGAATGTGAAAAAAAAAGGGAGGTGTCCAGAAGCGAGGAGGAGGGAGAAACGAGAGCAGCCCATGGCAGTACCGGAGGGTGTCGCCGCCCAGCATGGCCGCGAGGAAGAGCCCATCGGGCTTCAACGCCCTCCTGGTGGCCACAGGGGGGCGGGCAGACGGGTGCAGAGGAGGCAACGAGTAAGGAGGGTGGGGAGGGCTACATGCTTCGGTAGAAGGGGTGCTTCGGTAGAAGGGGTGCTTCGGTAGAAGGGGTGCTTCGGTAGAAGGGGTGTTTCGGTAGAAGGGGTGCTTCGGGCGGGCAGAGGATGCGCGGGGAGAGGGAGCGGCACAGCAGAGGGGAGGGCGGTCCAGCACACCTGATGTGCGCCATGGCGGCGGGCAGGTCGTTGACCCAGTGCAGCCCCACACATGATATCACCGCGTCAAACGAGCTGCATGGCACGAGGAGGGGTGGGGGTTTGAGACGCACGGCAGATGAGAGAAAAGAGAAGAGTGGATGGCAGAGCTGCTTTGGGTGCCGGCTGCTGCTGCAGTAGAGACTTTTTATTGACGGAGAAGGAGGCGTGGCAGGGGGTGACCTGGAGTGGAAGGGCAGGTGCTCCTCGTCTGCCAGCACAAACGCCACCTGCACCCTCGCTGCTGCTGCCGCCTCTGATGCTGATGCTGCTGCGCGTACTGCTGACGCTGCTGCTGGGTGTTCAGTGTGGTGCGGAGTCCAGGTGTGGTCGGTGGCAGTGGGGGCGTGATTGCAGCAGACGGCGTGGGCAGGCAGGTGGGCGCGCGCCAGTGCGAGGGCCGTGGGGGACACGTCCACCACCACCACTCGCTGCACAGCTGCTGTGCGGAGGGGGGATGGCGAGGCAGAGAGGGGATGCGTGAATGGGCGGACGAGGATGTGCCACGGAGAAATGGGATGCTGAGAAAGAGCAAGTGACCCATGGTCGGTGCATCTGGTAGGCAGTTGTGGGTACGGAATGGGGTTGCATGAGGACAGCAATTGCTCATACATCTGGACAGGCCGTTTGAGCAGCCTGGGAGCTGCGCAGCACCGTGCCATGAGAGGCGGCGAGAGGCGATGAAAGGCGGTGAGAGGCGATGAGAGGTGGTGAGAGGCGGTGTGTGGCAGGGGATAGGCAAAGCGAGCAGAGCAGGGAGGACAGGAACAAGGGGGAGGCAGTTGGGTGATAGCAGCAGTGCAGTCCAACAGTCCACATAGCCATGGCCCATCCGCACCCCTCTATTACAGTTGAGAACAGAACAGCAGCACAGCACAGACGGCAAAGCGGCAACAGCTTGGCAGAGAAGAACAGCACACAACCGCAGTGCAGCAGTGGAGACGTACGGTGGGTGCGCAGCAGCGTGGTGAGCACAGAGGGCAGCGCAGCCCCGCCCAGCAGCAGCACGCAGGAGAAGGTGCGCCGACAGTCCTGCGGAGGCGAGGGGTCGCGGATTGGTGGGGAGGATGGGCGGGACATGAGGGGCCTGAGAAAGAGGGGGATCAGCAGCTGCTGTGGTGGTTGTGAGCAGCAGAAGACTGCGAGGAGAGCAGAGAGCGCGAGGGGGGGAGTGGGGGAGGTGGGCGCGAGGCTGGTGAGTCGCGAGAGAGGGCAGGAGGAGAGGACATGGAAGAGGAGGAAGCAGTGCGTGTGGTGTGGGGACTGCGGCACGAGCAGCGCTGATGCCGATGCTGCAGCTGCAGCTGTGAGGCATGCTGGCCATGGCGGGTCTATCATGGGCTGCTGTCCTGGCATCATGGCACATGAGTGGTAAGGTAATACATGCCGCATGACACATGCAGCAAAGCACATCCAGTGCGTGTGACAGAGAGTGGTAGGGAGGGAAGGGAGAGATCCTCACTGCCAGGCGGTCCAGGAGGACGGACGCCACTTGCTCCACTAAGGGATCGCCACGTGGCACCTCGTTATCAGGTGATGTCATGTCAGCCGCTGCTCTGTCACGCTGCAACACGAGGTGGGCAATGATGGGCAGAGGCGCAGCAGACGGGCGGTGGGAGTGAGCGCAGCAGACGGGCGGTGGGAGTGAGCGCAGCAGACGGGCGGTGGGAGTGAGCGCAGCAGCACATTCGTGGGTGACCACACGTGCAGCTGGGCGGCATGGGAGCGACGGATGGCTCGTTGCACCCCATGCACCCCATGCACTCATCATCACCTGCATCGCCTTCAGCCGGCGGTTGAAGATCTCCATACTGCCACTGCTGCCGCCGCTACTGCCAGCCACAGCAGCAGCGGCGGCGAGGGAAGGCGCGGAGCACAGAAGGCGACGTGGCGGTCGTGCACCTCCCCACCCTCCTCCCGCGTGCACCATGCTGCTGACCGCCGCCTGTCCACCGCGTGCCACCCGCGCCCAAGCGCCGCCCCCCACCTCCCCGCCACGGCCCATGCGCTCCGCCGCCCCGTCCGCCGCCATGCCCCGCCACCCCGCGCCTTTAGTAGCGTCGCCTCCGCCGCTCGTTTCACTCGCCGCGTGCGTCTCGGCGCGCGCAGCATCGCGTGCGGAGCCCGGCTCGCGGGAGGGCCAGCGCTGGCAGGGCTCCGCCGGATCACCCGATTCACGCGCGCCGCTGCCCACGCCGCGTTGCGCGGCGGCAAGGGCGCGCGGACTTGCTTCCGGCGGACACAGCTTTCTCGGTATAAGGGCTTCGCACGACGGAGGCGCGCGATCCACGGCGGACGACGCGGGGACGAGCGAGGCGATGAGGCGACGCGGATTCACCGAGCGATGCGCCCAGGCGAGAAAAGACATGACGATCGACGATGGATGGTGCGGTTTGGGACAGCGCATGCAGGATGTGGAGTGAACGAGCAGTCCTCTTGTGGTTGGCGAGCAACACGCAATGAAGATTGAAGTCACAGGGGTAACAAATTAGTAGTCGCGAGCCATTCTGGGCTCGTCTCTGCTCTGCCGCCTTTGCTGGTCTGTTCTATTGGCGATTTCGCTAAACGTCGCCAGTCCATCGTCGGGAGTTACCAAAACAGAAGCACAGGTTTGAGAGCTACCGAAAACCTTGAGTTCTGTACCGTTCTGAAAACACGAGATATCGCCGTCACCCCATACATTCTGCTCAAATTGCTTCTCCTCCCTTCCCACCCAGCCCCATCGCACGCCACCCCCTCTTGCGCCAACTCCATCCATCGCCGCCACCCTCAGCTCTACGCGCCTTGCCAGTACGCCTGCCGCGCTCGTGTGCGTGCCGCTTTACCCGCGCTGCGCTACGTGCCTCCGAGCGCGGTCGTCGAATGAGGGCCTTCGCTGTTGCGCGCCGAGCGCCGTCCCGCGCGGCGCTCTTCGCCGTCGGGCGGCACCAGCCGAGAGTTTCCGCCAACTGCCCTGCCGCCGCCACACCATGGGACCGCCGCGTGCCCCCCGCGCTCTCGGCGGATCGGATTCTTCGCTGTGACGCGCAGTGTAGCGGCGCGGGGACGGGGATGTGGGAGGAGCGGAGTGGGAGCAGGGCGGGCGGAGGAGGGAGCGGCGACGGCGGCATGCGGAGGGAGTGCAAGGGGGGCGCGCGCGGCAGCGCGTGGCGAGAGGCGGTCGCACGGTGGGCGCCGGCCGGCGCTGACGCGACGCAGATTTCGCTTCAAGCCACACAGGCGGAGAGTGAGGGGACGACAATGTGGCGGGCGGTGGGTGGCGGCGGTTGGCGCAGTGGCGCAGAGGCGAGGCGGGGAGGTGCAGCGGAGGGGCCGTGTGCGGTAGCGGGCGTGGGCGGGCGAAGGTATGGCGTGTCGGCAGCTGGTGGCGGTGATGCGATGGGGCCAGCGGGGGTGGCGAGGGACGGCGGCATGAGGCGCGCAGGAGGGGCGCGGGGAGACGCGGCGCACGCGGACGAGCGCGGGGCGGAGGGGGAGGCGGAGTGGGGAGAGGCGTACTGGCGGAAACAGCTAGAACGGTCAGCGGCGGCAGAGAGGGGCGGCGGGAAGGGTGAGCGGAGGAGAAGGCGCAAGGCGAAGGAGGGGGAGGGGGAGGCGGTGGAGTGGTGGCCGGGGCAGCGGCAGCAGCAGCAGCAGCAGCGCGGGGCAGGGGGAGTGGAAGAGGGCGGTGGGGCGGACGGAGAGTTGGTGGCGGCGGTGGGCATGGAGGTGGCGCATGAGAAGGCCATGTACCTCCCCCCCTCCGTGCGCCCTGCCCCTCCCGCCCCTCCTGCTGTGCGCCGCTGCTGCCACATCACATTGCTGCTGCCTGTTTTGGCCTCCCCCGTACCCTCGCCAATGCTCATCATGCTACCCAGTGCGCATCATGCTAGCCAGTGCTAGCCAATGCTCGTCATGCTAGCCAGTGCTCATCATGCTAGCCAGTGCGCATCATGCTAGCCCGTGCTCATCATGCTAGCCAGTGCTCATCATGCTAGCCAGTGCTCATCATGCTAGCCAGTGCTCATCATGCTACCCAGTGCGCATCATGCTAGCCCATGCTCATCATGCTAGCCAGTGCTCGTCATGCTAGCCAGTGCTCATCATGCTAGCCAGTGCTCATCATGCTAGCCCGTGCTCTCGCCTCTCACCATGCGCCCTACCTCCCTCCCACCTGCCTCGCCCTCCCATCCCCCCAGCCCATCCTGGCAGGGCCGCCCCCTCCCTGGCGGGTGGAGGAGCGCGAGGGCGTGGCGGACCTGTGGCTGACACGCGCCTTCCACGGCGAGCAGCTGCGCCTCATGCTGTTGCTGCAGGGCCATGAGGGGGGACTCGTGGACCAGGGGGAGGAGTGGGAGGAGGGGGGTGGGGAGGGGGGTGATGGCAGGGCTGGTGAGGCACATGGCAGTGGCGTTGGGGGCGGTGAGAGCGATGCGGGCATCCCGGCGCTCATCCTCGTGTCCAAGCCGGTGCGCTCTGTGCAGGCAGGCGGCACGGCAGCTAGGAGCATGGCGATGGGCATGGCGGGCATGGGTGGCAGGGAGGGCCCAGTGAGGGGCAGGCCTGTGAGGCGCATGAGGGGCGAGGGGCGAGGGCACGCTGCAGCAGCAGGAGCAGCAGCATGTGCTGCAGGCACGGCAGCAGGGGGTGGTGAGGGGGAGGCGCGGCTGCGAGTGCACTGCACCATTGCAGGCGACCAGTGGCTCGTGAACCATGTGAGTGGCTCGTGAACCATGTGAGTGGCTCGTGAACCATGTGAGTGGCTCGTGAACCATGTGAGTGGCTCGTGAACCATGTGAGTGGCTCGTGAACCATGTGAGTGGCTCGTGAACCATGTGAGTGGCTCGTGAACCATGTGAGTGGCTCGTGAACCATGTGAGTGGCTCGTGAACCATGTGAGTGGCTCGTGAACCATGTGAGTGGCTCGTGAACCATGTGAGTGGCTCGTGAACCATGTGAGTGGCTCGTGAACCATGTGAGTGGCTCGTGAACCATGTGAGTGGCTCGTGAACCATGTGAGTGGCTCGTGAACCATGTGAGTGGCTCGTGAACCATGTGAGTGGCTCGTGAACCATGTGAGTGGCTCGTGAACCATGTGAGTGGCTCGTGAACCATGTGAGTGGCTCGTGAACCATGTGAGTGGCTCGTGAACCATGTGAGTGGCTCGTGAACCATGTGAGTGGCTCGTGAACCATGTGAGTGGCTCGTGAACCATGTGAGTGGCTCGTGAACCATGTGAGTGGCTCGTGAACCATGTGAGTGGCTCGTGAACCATGTGAGTGGCTCGTGAACCATGTGAGTGGCTCGTGAACCATGTGAGTGGCTCGTGAACCATGTGAGTGGCTCGTGAACCATGTGAGTGGCTCGTGAACCATGTGAGTGGCTCGTGAACCATGTGAGTGGCTCGTGAACCATGTGAGTGGCTCGTGAACCATGTGAGTGGCTCGTGAACCATGTGAGTGGCTCGTGAACCATGTGAGTGGCTCATGAACCATGTGAGTGGCTCGTGAACCATGTGAGTCGTCTGCACTGCCATTTGTAGCAAGCGTCGTGGGGCACAAGTGCACACAGGCCACTCACACTGCTTGCCGCCTACTGAATGCGTGTGTCAGGTTGACCTCCTCTCTGCCTCTCCTCATGCCATCGCCTCCTGATGCCCCCCCATGCCCCCCCATGCCTCCCAATGGCCCCTCATGCCCCCCCATGGCCCCCCATGCCCCCCCATGGGACCCCATGCCCCCCCATGCCCCCCCATTCCCCACCATTCCCCCCCATTCCCCCCCATTCCCCCCCATTCCCCCCCATTCCCCCCCATTCCCCCCCATTCCCTCCCATTCCCCCCCATTCCCCCCCATTCCCCCCCATTCCCCCCCATTCCCCCCCATTCCCTCCCATTCCCCCCCATTCCCCCCCATTCCCCCCCATTCCCCCCATTCCCCCCATTCCCCCCATTCCCCCCATTCCCCCCCATGCCCCCCCATGCCCCCCCATGCCCCCCCATGCCCCCCCATTCCCTCCCATTCCCCCCCATTCCCCCCCATTCCCCCCCATTCCCCCCCATTCCCCCCCATTCCCCCCCATTCCCCCCCATGCCCCCCCATGCCCCCCCATTCCCTCCCATTCCCCCCCATGCCCACGCACACCCCTGGCAGGTGGCGGTGGACGAGGCAGCAGTGCACGAGGACTCGTTCAGAGTGCCCTTCGACTACACCCTCTATGAGTGAGTCCCTCTGAGTGGTTTCTTACAGCCATACGTAAGAAACTTCTCCCTTCTTACATGCCAACTCATCCACACTTTCTTCTCTTTTCACTCTCACTCTACATCTCTCCTCCCCACTTCATCAAATCTCTGTGGTGCTAATCCAACCAATCTCTCCCCAACCGCCTGGCAGCGCCGTGCCGCCCGCCATGCAGGCGGAGGTGGAGGCGTATCTGCAGCGGCGGGGCGTGGGGGCACAGCTGGCGCGGTACGGGCGCCACCTGCTGCTGCACCGCGAGGTCACCCAGGCCACCGCCTGGCTCTCCTCCCTCCACTCATTCCTCTCCACGCCCGCTGCGACCAGCAGGAGAGTTGGGCATGTGAAGAGAGGAGGGTGGAGGGGGAAAGCAGGTGGTGTGAGAGGGGGTGCGCGCAGTGGAAGGGTGTCCAATGCTGCCCGGTGGAGCTGATGCTTCTGGCCTGCATACCTCAACTGAGGGATGCTGCTGTGCGCACGGAGCAAATGGATTGAGAGAATATTAAATTAGGGACAGTTTTGTGAGTCTGAAGTACCGTAGGAAGCTGCTCACAATGACGGTGTTAAGTAAATCAAGCTTGTTGGGAAGGGGGACAGGGGAGGGACTGAAAGTGTTAGTGCATCTTATGGAGTAGATTTTGCAAAAAACGTCGACTTTTAGAGAGGTTGAGTCCTTGATGTTGGGCTGAGAAAAAGGCTTGGGATCTTATAGAGTTTAGTGTCAAAATCCCAGCCACTAGACCGCTGGGTTAAAAGGGCTTGTTCCAATCGCGGGTCCGTGCGCCCAAACCCCCCCAGTCTAACATGCATGTAACCCCTTCTATGCGTTGGAAACAAGTAATTAACGCTTCTTATGTGTCGTAACATCAAGACTGTAAACGAGGCGAACTACAGCGCAGCAATGGCGAGTCAACCGAGGAGGTTGACAGAAAAGCAACAGCCGGAGGTTACACGAAGTTCAAAGGTCAGCGACCTTTGACTTGACAAATACAGCGCGACAGCAAGGACAAACAACTGACTCGTTACTGAGCAGTTGCCCGAGTCGTCACTGTATCGAACCGCAACAGCAACAGTAAAACAATTATTAGTTGCACCCTTTCATATTTCTTGTAATCTTATAAAAGATTGTACTACTTTTCCATAATCAATCTATCTTGCCCTCACACATCAGCGCAAGGTGGTTCAACAGTTTATCACTAAACTCTTCCGCAATGTTGGGCTGAGAAAATAGCCCTTAGGATCTTTGCAGGGGTGAACTCTGGGTAGAACTGATGTAGTAGCGGAAGCGTTTAATGAAGAGTCATGAACCACATTGCGCTAGTATGTGAGGGCAAAGTTGATTGATTAAAGCAAAGAGATACAAGAATATATATGAATACAGGGAATATGAAAAGACACAGTTATAACTACTTTACTGTTGCTGTTGCGGTTCGATACAGTGACGACTCGGGCAACTGCTCTGTAACGAGTCAGTTGTGTGTCCTTGCTGTCGCGCTGTACTTGTCAGGTCAAAGGTCGCTGACCTTTGAATTTCGCGTAACCTCCGACAGTTGCTTCAACCTCCGAGGGTTGACTCGCTGGTGCTTCGATAGTGTTTTGCTTCGCTTGTGTCTTGGTGTTTCGACACGACAGAGGCGCTTAAGTTAGTTGTTTCCAACACTCCCCTTCGCTTCTGGAGTGTCGCTGCTGGTGACGTGGCTCTGTCCAGTCAGCAACATGCAGTACTCGAACTTCTGCTTTCCGAGCTTCTTGGTCTAGTAGTCAGCTGCCATCTCGGACGTGGGGCAGTATGACAGTTCGAGTCTCCCCTTCTCGATCTCGTCCTTCGCGAAGAAGTATCGCAGGGCGATGTGTTTCATCCTGTTCGCGAAGCCGTTCTTGTTGGCTATGCGAATGGCCGACTGGTTGTCGCAGAACAGGGTAAAGTTTGGTAACAAGGCTAGCTTGGCTTCCTCCAGGAGTTCGCGAAGGTACAATCCTTCCTTGGTGGCTGAGCAGAGTGCGATATATTCTGCTTCAGCTGAAGAGAGGGCGATTAATTTCTGTTTGCTCGACTGCCAGGAGATAGGACCGATAGGCTCGAAGCGGTAGATGTAGCCGGTGCGGGAGCGCCTGTTGTCGGAGTCGCTGGCGTGATCGGCGTCGACGTATCCGATTAGCTTAGGCGTTATAGTTGTGTTCTTATGGTAGGTCAGGCCGATTGTTGGGGTGCTGACGAGGTAGTGAAGAGCGCGGTCGAGCTCCGCCAGATGTTCAGCTTCAGGTTTCTTGAGGTAGGTGGCGAGCTGGCTTGCAGAGTACGATAGGTCCGCGCGGCAGGTGACAGCTGCGAAGAGGAGGCATCCCAGCTTCCTCTGGTAGTCGCGTATGCCGGCGGGCTTGAGTAGAGTGGAGCCTTCCTTGTGGTTTCCTGCCGTGTAGCGGTATGGCGTGGAGATGACGGTCGGTGTGAGTGCGAAGCGTTTGGCGATGGTATCGGCGTATTTCGCGGCGTTGAGGTAGATTGCGTCCTCCTCTTCCCGTATGTTGAGCCCGAGATATTGCGTGACGGTAGATGAGACAGTGAGCGTAAGGTCTTGCTGCAACTCCCCTTCGAACCAGGTAGTGACGCTGTTGGTTGAGCCGATGTAGAGCAAATCGTCTACGTAGACGATTAGCAAGATGTAGTCAGTACCCTTTGTGAGCCGGTACATGCCTTGGTCGTGAGGTAGTTGGCGGAATCCAATTCGAATGAGTCTTGCGTGCAGGTACTGCTGCCACAGCCTCGGGGCTTGTTTGATGCCATAGAGCGACTTCAGCAGCTGACAGACTTGATTAGGCTTTCCGTTGGAGCCGTGCGGTAGCTCGACGAAGATTTCTGCGTCGACAGGTGCGTAGAGAAATGCATTCGCGACGTCGATTTGCCGCAGCTTCCTTTTCTTCATGGCGGCGATCACGAGGAGAATTCGCAGCGAGGTGTGTCGGCTGACTGGAGCGAATGTCTCGGTGAAATCACGTCCATGTTCCTGGTCGAAGCCGCGTACGACCCAGCGTGCTTTGAACTTGTCGATGGTGCCGTCAGCCTTTGTCTTCACGCGGAAGACCCACTTTCCGGTGAGAATCGTCTTGTTCCGTGCTACGCCGATAGGAACAACCTTCCAGGTGTTGCGTTCCTCCAGTGCTTTCAGCTCCTTGTCCATGGCTTCGCGCCATTTTTCCTTATGCTCCCCCCCCAGAGCCTGCTGAACTGTCGCAGGCTCTTCAGGAATGGCTGTCCCGTGAACTGCGGTAACGAGACCGAGTATCTGGAGTCCACTCTGTGTGTAGCGGGGAAGTGATGTGTCCGCGGGATAAGCTGCTTCATCTCCCTCTTCTGGCGTAGGATTGAAGTTTGGTCCTACGCGTTCTGCTTCGTTGGTGTTGACTTGTGCAGGTGTAACGTAACCGTTGTCGGCGAAATGGTAATAGGTTTCGGCGTTGATGCTTTCGCGTCGATTCTCGTTATCCATTGGGACGTGGACGGAGCAGTAGGGGAGAGGTCTGGCTTCTTCCGAAGCTCCTTCCACGTTCTGGTCATCCCAGTCAGCTTCGTCGTCTGCCGAGGCGAAGGCTCGGGTGCCAAGAAAACCATCAGAGCGATCGGGGTTTCCTTCTTGCAAGTTGGCGAGGTAATACCGGAGGGTGAGGTTTTCGTAGAAGATGACATCACGTGCTGCTACTGTTTCCTTTGTCTCAATGTCGAAAATCTTCCATGCGTTGTAATGTTTTTCGATGCCCAGATGTAGTCCCCACTGTGCGCGTTGGGAGAATCGGCCAGCTCGTGCAGATGGGGGCCGGTACTGTACCATGCAGCCGAAGACTCTCAACATTTTTGTGCTGCCCAGTTTTCCTGTCCACTGCAGATGCGGTGATGCGTTGTTCGGGAGCGATGATGACGAGAGCAAGTTGTGCAGCATGACGGCGTGGTCCATTGCTTCGGGCCACTGGTGGTTGGGCAGGTGCATGCCACGTAGCAGCTTGCGCATGGTGTTCTGGAGGGTCCTGTTCATCCTTTCTGCTACACCCTGCTGTTGATGGGCGTAGGGGAGAGAGATGAGTCGCTTGATTCCTCTCTCTACCAAGTACTCCTTGAACCTCTGTGAGGTGTATTCTCCCCCTCCGTCTGACTGGAAGCTCTTGGGTTTTACTCCGGATTCTCGTTCTGCTACTGGAAGCCAGGCGACGAAGGCTTCGAAGGCCATGTTGTGGCTTGGAAGATTTAGGTGCCAGACGTATCGAGTGGCTGCGTCGATGAAGATGATGGTGTAATTGTACGCGTTTTGTCCAGGCTCGCGGTTGTACAGGATGTCGCTGTACACCTTCTCGAGTGGCGCGTAAGCTGGTGCGCTTGGGTTGTGGTGAGGTACGAACGGTTGATGCGGTAGGTCAGCTTCGGGACAGGTGAAGCATGTTCCACGGGCTCGCTGAAGTTCTCTGCCGTCAGTTAGGAGTAGAGAGTCCTTGTCTAGCACGCCTGCTCTTATCGTTTTATTTAACACCGTGTTGCTTGGGTGACCCATTCTTGCGTGCCAGGTTCCTTCGGTGGCGCGATGTCCGGGTGAGCGCCGATACATGTTGGAGTTGGAGTAGAAACCGGCGGTGAAGTTGGCGCTTCGGTGGACTTCTCGTTGAGTCGGAGTTAGCTGCTGCGCGGGTGTTGGTGATGTATCGTCGGTGAAGATTGGTGCCGTTGAGGAACCAGCGATTGGTGTCGTTGTTGCCCCTGTTGTTGTTGTTGTCTCTGCTGCTGCCGATGTTGTCTCTGCTGCTGCCGATGTTGTCTCTGCTGCTGCCGGTGTTGTCTCTGCTGCTGCCGATGTTGTCTCTGCTGCTGTCGGTGTTGTCTCTGCTGCTGCCGATGATGTCTCTGCTGCTGCCGGTGTTGTTTCTGTTGCTGCCGAATGTTGTATTGTTGCTAACGCTCTTGTTCTTTCTGCTTCAGGAATGGTGTGCGAGTACCAGAATCCTTCGGGGCTGAAGTTGGGGTCAAGATCTGGTGGATGTGTCCAGGAGGTGAAGGTGACGATCCCGTCGCTGTCAGCTGTGCCAAGGTCTGGAACGAAGTCGAGGACGAAGACGTTGTTCTTCAGGACTGCCTTGCCGATGTAGAGACCTCCTCTTCCGTGGTACAACTTGAACTCCTGAGTGGTGCTATCTGCTTCAAGGTGGATGCCTTTCGCCATCAGCTGGCTGACGCTCAGTAAGTTGTAGCCGAGTCCCTCCGCGATTAATACCTTTGACATCTGCAGTATAACATTTGTCTCTCTTGACTGAAGTTGAACCACGCCTTGTCGTCGTGTACGCAGGTTCTGATTGTTGGTGTTGCTAGTAGAAGGACATGAAGGAGAAAAACTTTTCCATCATGCTCTGGTCGAAGCCTGCAGGTTGATTCGCGGGAGTCTCGGTGGATGTTGC